TCAGACACATTATTGTAGAAAGATCACTACAGCAGCTGGAATAGACCTAACAGACTAGGTAGGAGGGTATGGAAACCTACGTAAGGCATCTAGAAAAATCTAAGGCCGTCACAGAAAGGAGCTCAGGAAAAGTGAAAGGCTACGTGAGGTGAACGAGAGGTACGGATCCAGAAACAGCACGGTCCAGTAGCACTTTCTGGGATCGTGGGAATTCCTTTTCTGTGCTGCCCAGTATGGTGGCCACTGGCCACCTGCGGTTGTTGAGCACTTACAGTGTGGCCAGTGAGACCGAGAAACTGCATTGTAAGCCAAATTTAAATTCCCTTAAGTATAAACAGCTACACGGGATTGGGGGCTGCCGTATTAGGCAGCACAGCGCTAGAGAGCCTTCCAGGTTTCTGGCTTGGAAGCCCACGAGGACAGCCGTAAGGACAGCAATCCCCAAGGTGGGGCTAGTTTGGCACACGTGGAGTCCGAGGACTTCGGCCCAGCCGCCGAGCTGAGCCTGCCCCCGGGCACGTTGCTGCCGTACGACCTGCCACAGCAAGAGCCCAGGGCCAGGCGGGGCGGGCGCCACATGCCGCGCCCCTTTGGACCCACCTGGGCACCACAAACTGGGGCCGGGCTCCAAAGAAAGTGACCCGATGGCCGCCTTCACCCTAGGGAGAGGGCTCTATGGTTAAAAGGATGTGATGATGTCTTTAAACGGGAGAGGAGACGGGGAGCCCCTTCCTTGGTGGCCATGGTTGGGGTGCATTTTCGCAGGCCCTCTCCTCTGCACGTTGGCCTAGCTAGGGTATCGCTGCCGAGCCAGTGGCCCGCGCTGCTTTGAAAAATTAGACCTATCCCACTTCTCTTTTCTCTACTCCCCCCAAACTACTTTTGTATTTTGGGAAAAGTGTATTTGTAAAGAAACTCTATAGACCTCCCAGTGGGCCCCCCTCCAGCCCAGGTCCCGGCTCTGTCCTCCCCAGATGCTGCTGGAGAAGCTGAACGGCACGGTGCCCTGCCTGCTGGACACCAGCACCATCCCCGCCGAGGAGCTGACCATGAGCACCTCGCGCTCAGCAGCCAACCCTGGCCTGAGTGAGAGCCTGGCCACCAGCACCCCCAGGACCTCCAATGGCGACTCGCCATCCCACCCCTATTACCGCACCTTTTCCCCTCACTTCCACCACTTTGTGGAGCAGTGCCTTCAGCGGAACCCAGACGTCAGGTATTTCCTCTGGGCTGGGAGTGGGCTTTCAGGGGAGCGTGGGGGGCTGGGGGGCCGAAGGCCGAGTTTGAGAGGATGCATCTGTCCTGTAAAGGGCTGGGTTCCTGGAGGAGTCCCGAGCCCCTGTGGCCAGAGGGATCAGCACAAGGGTTTGCTAAGAAGCCAGCCTGGGTAGCTCTGGCTGTCATTTTTGGGGGCTGCTGAGGGAAGAAGTAGAGGATGCTTGAGGATAAGGTATAAGCCGCAGGCTTTGGAAAGTCTGGGGCACAGGGGTGATGGTGGTCTCTCTTCCCCTTTCTCTACAGACCAAGTGCCAGCACCCTTCTGAACCATTCTTTCTTCAAGCAGGTAACACAGCACTTTCCCGAGGCTCCCTGGGTTGGTTGGTTTTTCTTGCCTGTGCTTCTAACTACCCTGCACCTCCTTAGCCGCAGGGTCCTCTTCCCTTTGAATCTGAGAAACGGCCATGTTTCTGAAGCCCCTTAAAGGCGCTGCTCCTTCCTCTCATAAAGGTTTTTGGCTCTAACAGGCCAGCTGTCAGGCGGCCACTTGCCCCACGGTGTCCTGTGACCCAGAGCCACGGGCTCCACCCCCAACTGTCTCTCCTCCCTCAGATCAAGCGACGCGCCTCAGAGGCTTTGCCTGAGTTACTTCGCCCTGTCACCCCCATCACCAATTTTGAGGGCAGCCAGCCTCAGGATCCCAGTGGAATCTTCGGCCTGGTAGCAAACCTGGAGGAGCTAGAGGTGGACGACTGGGAGTTCTGAGCCTCTGAAGGATGTGCACGTTCTCTGTCCCGGGACACGTGAACCCCGGGGGCCCTTCCTGAGGGCTGGCCACATTCCCACCCTCCTGGGTGCAGATTGGGTAGAAAGGACATTTCTGCCACGACAGTTGGCCGCTTACTCACTGGGAGAGAAATTCCTGGAGAGAAACCTTCTTTACTGCTCCAGGACTTCGAGACACAAGGGAATCCCAGCAACCAGTGATCAGAGGCCAGGAAGCTGACATTCCATCCTGGGAGCTCAGGCGACCTCTTCAGAAGGAAGAGATGCTGTTCTGGCCCTGGAGGGCTGAAGGCCAAGCCCAGGGTTTGACTCTTCAACCCAGGGGACTGTGTGACTTCCTCTTTTCACTCTTGCTGTCCTACCAGGCTGTTCCATTCTCTTCCTCTGCTCTCAGATCCTACAGGTCCATGGAGGGGCAAGCAATAAGCAACCTGCCCCCCACCCTAGTCCCCAGACCTCGCCCTAATAATTGAAGGGAAGGGCATGTTTTTGTTAAGCACCAGGTTAAGGCTGGGGCAGTCCCTCCTTATCCCTCTCATTGCTTGGACCGCAACACCTAGAACCTTCCCATAGTTCATCTGTGTGGTTCATCCCTTTCCCACCAAGAATCTATCTTACTGCCTCCTGCCGGCCACCTTGAGGCTTTCTCCAAGGCCACAATGTCTTGCCTAGCCTGAGGACTTAAGTCCTTATGCCGCTTTAGTTTCATTGCCAGAACAAATTAAAATTTTTGGAGAATCCATTGGAGAGTGTCATTACTATGTGCTGCCATCCAGGCTCAGACAAGAGTCACCCAGCCCCACGTTCTGCCATCCCGAGTGCATGCGGAAGCCTGGCCATGACCGCTTTTGTTAGAGAGCCCCACAACACACATAATAGATCTGTCTCCTCACCATCCAAAAACGTGAGACTATTCATTTTAGCCTGTGGCCATCAATCAAACCACTTTGGGGCTGGAAAGGTCTAGGTGCTGAAGACTAGCCCTTCGGCAGGACAACTTCCGGGCCACCAGGAGTCCGGGGAGAAGAGGCTCATCTTTGGCAGGAAAGGAGGTGGAGGCTTTTCTTCTGTAACATGACTTGCGGTATCTCCTTACCCCTGGAACTGACACTCAAAGATCAGGTAACCTAAGAACCAGACCTGTCCCCTCTCTGTCATCCGGGCTGGCGGCCAGCGAGGCTGGGCAAGGGGGTGACTCTGACTTGGGTCTCCATGGTGCTTCCCAGCCTGCATGGGCACCAGCCTGGCACCGTCCCCCCTGCCGGTCCCTCAGCGGGGAGGCCCTCCTTCTCTCGCTCAGGCACTAAACGTGTCAGATTAAGGAAGTGCCCCTCCCTCTTCCCTGAAGCTGCTCTGAACCCTCAAAGGCTCTCACTTTCCCTTCCCTCTGAAATTTTAACACCAGTTTAAAAATGAAAAATAAAAACCCTCTTCCTTTGGGCAGTCACAGGGGATGAGGTGAAGGGAATGGACACCCCCTACGGGGCGGAGTGGGGAGGCCAGGTCACCTTTGTTTCCAACCCCCCTCCTTACCCCTGCCCAGCTCATCTTTTCTTTAAACCTCAAGATCCCTTTTCTCAACACCATGGTCAGCCTGTTTTCTTTCCTTCTGAACTGCTTTCGTCACCTTGCTGTCCATTCATCCTCTGTGCCCAAGCTGCTGCTGCTGGGGGTGCTGCCCGTAGTTGCCCCCGCAGGGCCATCCTGGGCAGGGGAGGGGGCCTCTGGGCGCAGGGGGCCAGACAGCCGTCCTGCAGGCTGTTCCTCGGGTGGGGGAGGGCCACACCTTCTTGCATCACTGCAGCCGCCTTGCAGAATCTGGTGACGGCTGTGCACACTGCCAGGAAAGATGCACAGGGACAGTTTCAGAAGTGACACACATACACACACCACACCCCCACCCCCACCCCCCCCGCAGAGGGAGTCCTGGGCCTGCACCCCCACCCAAACACAGATCTTCCTCTGGAGAGGGGCAGGAGGCTGCGGAGAGAAAAAGCATAGCGCAGCGTGCGCGCCCTCCGGAGCCGAGGGCACAGAGCCGGGGGCCCAGGCAGCCGGCCGCCTCGCTGCCTCCCTCCGCCGCCAGGCACGCGGGCTTGTTCTGCTCCCTGACACGTGTGTGGGCCGTGCTCTGCAGCCACTGGTTCTAGTCCTGCCCCAGTGTGGGAGCCAGCTCTGTCCAGGGCTGCGTTTGGCGGCCCGGCTTGCAGCCAGACGTCAGGCAGAGCCCAGCAGTCCCTGCGGCTGACGAGGCCCGGGCCCCCAGCGGAGGCGCCGCCGGGAAGCCGCCGCCCCACGTGCGCAGCGCAGCTGGGGCTCTACCCCCGCCAGTGGGTGCCGGTCACCTGCGTCCCGTGCGCCTCCCACTGTCCACCTGTCGTGCGCTGTGCTGGGGCCAGGGCAGCCGCTGGCCCACAGGGGCCGGGAGGAAGGAGCCGGGGGCAGGGGGCTTCTCGGCTTCTGGCGCCAGCCCTGCTGCTCTAGCTTTGTTCTTTGGAACCAGGCGCTTCGGCTCTTCAGGCCTGTCTCCCTGTGTTAAGCTGGGTTAGGGTGCGCCGAGATGTGCTTGTTTGAAGGATGGCAATCTCTTCCCCCGAAGGGAGTACCCTCAATTTCTCAAAGGCAGCAGTGCCCGCCCGCAGGAACCGGGGGCGGGGGGGTGACTAAGGCCACGAAGACCGGCCACAGAAGCGCTTTAGGACGGCGGGCTTCGGAGCCTCCCGGGACCCTTGTCTATGGGGTCGCAGGAGAAGGCGCCGAGGGGTGGTGGTCCCGCCGGAGCCCTCTTGCAGACCCGCGCGCGGTGAGCCGGCGGCCCGAAGGGACAGAACACGGGGACGCCGTGCCTCGCAGCCTCGCGTGGCGAGACCGCGTGCCGGCCGCCGCTGCCTCCTTCCTCCGGCGGCCGAGCGGGGGCGGCCTCTGGCGGCGGGAGGACTCCGCGGCCGGAGGGGGCGTGGGATCCCGGACGGGGCCGCCCCCGCGGGGTCTGTCAAACCGCAGGGCCCACGGAGCGCCGGGCGGGCACGAGGGCCAACCGAGGGAAACTGAGGCAGCGAAAGGCCCAGGAGCACCCCGCTGATCCTTTCCCGCCGCAGGGGCGTCGCCGGGAGCGCCATCTGTCCCGGGACCCTAGGGGTCTCAACCTGAACTCGTCCTCGCCCTGAGGCGTGCGGTACCCTCCCGCTCCGGTCCCTGCCTCGGTCCCGAGCGGGCCGACAGGGCTGCCGGCTTCCCGAGGCCGGCGAGCGCGGGGCCCGCGGGGATGGTGCGAGTGCCCGGAGCGCGGGGTCGGGGCGGGGGGCAGACAAAGGCAAGTGACGGAGAGCGAGGGAAAGACAAAGCGCAGAGGGGGTCGGCGGCGGCGCCGGGGCCCCGGAGGCGGCTCCGGGCGCGGCGGAGCCAATGGGCGGGCGCGGGGCGGGGGCCGGCGGGGGCGGCGCCGCGATAAGGCGGTGGCGGCGGCGGCCGCTCGGGGACCACTGGCAGCGGCGGCAGCTCGCGCCCGCGCCCTCCTCGCACCCGAGGCGTCCCCCCGGAGAACGACCCCCCGCCCCGCGGCCCAGGCCGGGGCCCCGGTGAGACCCGCGGGCGGGCCGGGGAGGGGGCCTGCATCCGTCTCACACACCCGGGCGCCAGGTGGGGGTGCGGGCGCGAGGGCCGCCGCCCGCGGGGTCCCGACGCTCAGCGCCTCCGCCCGTCGCTCTCGCCAGGGGCCCCGAGGCCAGCGGCCGCCCTCCCGGGCGGGCCTCCCAGCGGGGACGGAGCCGAATCCCCCTGGCTGTGTCGGCGGGGGTCCCGGGTCTGGGGTCCCGTCCTCGCGGGCCCCGGGGCGGAGAAGCGGGGCGTGCGGGCGGTGGCTCGGCCGAGCGGGGCGGGCGGCGCAGCCCGGGAGCGCTGTCCAGGGACTGGGCCGGCCGAGCTGGGGGCGGGGTGGGGGGTGGGCTCCCGCGGCCTCGGCAGCGTCGGGCCGGGGTCAGGCGGGGCCAGCGGATTCTCACCGAGGCCCCGCCCGGCCCGCCCCTGACCTCCCCTCATCCAGGCGGGGTCCCGGGCCGCGGGGCGCTCACGGCGGCTGCGCGGCGCCCCCTCCCCCGGCCGCTCCCGGCTAACTCTGTCCTTTCCCCGACACATGGTTCCACTCAGGGACCCCTGTCCCTTGGGGAGCAGCGAGGGGGGCGGGCGGGCGAAGGGGGAGGGGCGGAAGTGGCAAGACAGGGAGCAACAGGAAATGACTTAGGGAAAGTCCCAACCGCAGCCCCCTAGCCCCCTGCCTGTAAACACTCCCACCCCACCCTGCAGGCTGGGGAAGCGCTTGTGGGGCCCGACCGACCGACTTCCCCTTGCAGAACCCAGCGGGTGCCGCGTGTCCACCTGGGGCCTCCATCACCCCCACCGAGCCATGTTCCAGGCTGCAGAAGCCGCCCAGGCCACCCCCTCTCATGTAGGTGATCAGCGGGGCGGGAGGGCTCCTCTCCCGCAGGCATCGGCCCTGGGGGTGAAGGGGTGAGGGGCGGCAGATTTGCCACCCTTCCCCCCCCCCCCCCCCCCCCCCCCCCGCCCCTGGGATCTGGGCTGGTGACCGCAGCAAAGGTCTGGGGGCATCCCTCTGACCCGGCCCTGACTGGCCCTCTCCCTTAGGAAGCCAAGGGCAGCGGTGGCAGCAGCACTGTCCAGCGCTCCAAGGTAGGGCCCCGAGAGTGGAGTGTTGGGGGGAGAAGGGACGGGCATGGGCCAGGCCCCTGGCTGACTCTCTCCCGGCACAGTCCTTCAGCCTTCGGGCCCAGGTGAAGGAGAGCTGTGCCGCCTGCCAGAAGACCGTGTACCCCATGGAGCGGCTGGTGGCCGACAAGCTCATTTTCCACAACTCTTGCTTCTGTTGCAAGCACTGTCACACCAAGCTGAGGTGCGCCTTTGCCCTGCCCCTGCCCTCGCCTGCTAGCCCTGACCTGACCTGACCACAGTTGTTCTGCTTCTGCAGCCTGGGCAGCTACGCGGCACTGCACGGGGAATTTTACTGCAAACCCCACTTTCAGCAGCTGTTTAAGAGCAAAGGCAACTACGATGAGGGCTTCGGCCGGAAGCAGCATAAGGAGCTCTGGGCCCACAAGGAGGTGGACTCCGGCACGAAGACTGCCTGAGGCCCCCCTGCCGTCCACTGTCTCTGTAGAAGGCGGCCTGGAGAGGGGCAGTGGGAAGGGTGGGAAAGAAATTGGACCTGGTTGGGGGGCAGGGTGGGACAGGGATAAGGCCATCTTGCTCAGGCAGAGGATTAGGGGGGCAGGGCTCTGCTCCAGGATTCCTTCATTCTCCTTGGGGGGGGGTGGTTTGGGAACCAGGATTGGGGTTTGCTCACCACCCTGCTTCCTACTTCTTTCAGCCTACCCCACCTCACCCCCCGGCCCCCTGGGAGGCCCCCAAGCCCAGCTTCCCTATCTAGGTGCCTTTTCTCCAGCAAGGAGTCACCATGCCCCCTCAGGGTCCCAAGCTCCCTCACTGCCACCTGGGGCCCTCTGGGGACCCCTTTTCTCTCCATCTACCTCTGCCCTTAGCCTGGTCCTGAGCCATGGAGACCGGAGGAAGGAGAGCCAGCGTGCCCTCGCTGGGCCTCACAGAATGCCCACCAAGGCCCTGGGCGGGGGGAGTGGATTAGCCCTGTCCTCCCCTGAAAGGCGAGGCAGGGCAAGCCCAGTGGGGCTTGGGACCCATCTTGCACCACCGGAGTCAAGAAGCGGAAGCTCAAGCACCCGCCAGGCTGAGAGCCACAGAGACTGGCTGGGGGCTGGTGTGGGCCACGCTCCTCTCCTCTTCTCCCCTGTTGCTGCCGGTTCTGACTGTTGTGATCAACCCTGTTTTAAACATGTTTTAACAGATTCTGACTCTGTATTATGTGGCCTGATGGGGCTGGGCGGGGTGTTCTTTGTGGCAGGAAGGATGCAGACTTCTCATGCAGAGGTGACAGGGGACATGGTCAACCCAGAGCATTCCTGGCCTTGATTGGGATGGGGGATGGGGCTGATGATAGGTGCCAGGGAAATGACACCAGCCTGCGAAAAAGAGGGGATGCTCCCTTTTCAACAGCCAGGCCTCCATGCTGTCATACCCAGAGTGGTTTTAGAACTGAAATTCCACTTTGCTTCTCAGCCTTGTGTCGGTTAAGAAAGGGTCGGGATGGCTGGCTCAGTCAGTAGAGGATGCAACTCTTGATCTCAGGGTTGTGGGTTCAAACCCCACATTGAGTGTGGAACCTACTTTAGAAAAAAAAAAAAGAGAGAGAGGATCAGGCCATCAGTAGGTGATGGAGCCTGGCCTCACTGCACTTCGGTATACTGCAAAGCAGAACCCTTCTGCCGAGTCCTTGTCTGGACCCCCTTTGCCCTGGAAATCAGCAAAGGGTGGTGGAAACCAGCAGATTCAGCAAGTGCTGTTGAAGGTTCTCTAGTTCGCCATGTCCTTCCCCATCTGTCATCTTCCCCTTGCTTTTTCAAGCTCTGGGGAGTGGGGCAGCCATGGTCACCATCCCAGGTATTCCAAGGAGAAACAGCTTATCTGCTCCTCTGAGGGACAAGTTTATAGCAGGGCAAACATGGCCAACTTGGGTGACCTGAGATACCTCCCCATGCCCAGCAGATTACTGGCAGGAAGTCTGGGATGTCTGTCCCAGACCCAACTGTCCTGATCTCCCCCAAACTGCCCGTGGACTATATGACCTGGTGGAGCAAGAGGGCCAACTCCTGGGGGTTTGCTACCACTGCACCCCATACAATACCTTAAGTTCCTAAGTGACGCCATGCCCACAGGACAGGGTAGGGAGCAGGTGCTCAAACTCTGGTGGCAGATGGGCCACTGTGCTGTGTTGAGGTAGACACTGCCCCCTGAAGCAGCAGAGCTAACACTCAGCAGAGATGGCACTGGGTCATCTCAGCACGAGGAGAGCCGAGAGCCTCATTCAAAGAAGGCCCAAATTCTGCACTGGAGGCCTCAGATGGGGACAAGGACTCTGAGCTAAGCACCACCAGCAGACAGACCAGCAGGGAGATAACAGCAGAATATGGCTCAAGGGGATACTTGCCTGCACCTGGAAGACTACTAGATGCCATGAAGTTCTGGGACCCCAGCCACTGGTGACACTTGGGTCACGGGGGCTGACAGTACCACCTTGATAATCAACCCTGATAGAAGCACCCTCAGCAGAGCTCCCGGAAGTGGGGAGGGAGGGGAGCCAGCTCTGAGCCTGCAGTGGCAACAACCAAGTCAGCCCATCCTAGGACCCCTCTTGGAGTCATTTCAAGTTCTCTGCTGAGGGACCCAAGCTGGTTACCAGGCACCATACCTGGCTCCTCCCGAGCGAACACCTGCTCTCTCCACTCCCCAACCAAAAGCATTGCCACAGGACCCCTTGGGTATAAATGATCCCTTTTATTGTAAGTAATGCACGACACTGGCCTGGCTTTGCACTGCAAGCCCTCGGTCGAGATATAGTCAAATAACTATGGCTGCAGGTTCTTCTGCACGATCCACAATTCAGACACAGACACAGAGCTGAGGTGGAAAGGAGGGGCAGGAGGGCGATGGAGTGTGGACTGTCCCCAGTCCTGGCCTCTCCATGTAGGTTTGGCCGAGGCCGACATAGCCCACGGAATGGTGAGCAAATGGCAGCATGGCCCTTCCCACAGCAAGCCTGGGGCTTCCAGGGGACTGCTTTCAGAATCTTCGGGCCCAGGCTGTCCTAGGCCCACAACTTGTCATCTGGGTTATTTAATATAAAGACAATAAATTAAAATTAAGCAACAGCTTGGTCCTGAGGATGCTGAGCCAGCATGTCCACAGTTTTTGGCACACAAAAAAACAAAAAACAAAAAAACAAACAAAACAAAAAAACAGGGTCTTTTATTTTTTTGGAGTGCAGCGTTTGTTGGCCTGTTTGCAAATTCACTTTTAGAACCCATTCCCTGTGAGGTAAGACCCCAGGAGGTGGGGCTCTGCGAGAGCCTGAAGCCGGGACACACAGAGTCGTCTTGGCACTGGCACCCTGCTCTGTTTCCTCCTGGGGACCAGGGACTGGGGACGGGGCTGTGGGCCCACAAAGAGTACTACCACCATCAGGATGGGGGTGTGGAGAGGCCGAGCTGCCACGTGGCGGCTTTGGTCAAGTTGAGGGGCCAGTCCCCACCCTGGGCTAGGGACAAGGTGGAGACAGGAGCTCGTGCTCACTGCCTTCAGAGGGCTGAGCGGGGGGTGCCTGACAGAGGCCCCTGGGGGGAAAGGATGGAAACAGAGGGGCCCAGGCCCAACTGGCACCGTGCAACACACATTCCTGCAAAACCAGCTGCTTTCATTTTCTCTTCTCTCTCTTGAGGCGTCCATCACCTGTAACAATCTAGAATTGATATATATAAAAACCATCAAATATGATCTGAGATATAAATTAACAAGTACAAGGCCTCACATTACATGATGTGAAAAGGCTAAAAACAGCGATAGAAACTACATTCATAAAAGTGCATCGTCAACATACAACGAAGGCTTTGGCTTGTTCTGGTGCCCGTGGGGAAGTGGGCATGGCTGGCAATGAGCAGCTGCCTGGCGCTGATCCCCAGCTCCCCGGAGAGGCCCATCCCTGGGCACTGGCTTTGTTGTTGTTGTTGTTGTTGTTGTTGTTCCTTTAATGACAACTCCCAAGGAAACTGGGTGTTGGGCGGGAGGAGCTCTAGCAATAGGCACATTTTGGAGGGGAGGGGCCGGAAGAAAGGACCAGCGCCCAGGCTGAGGTAAATAAGGCCAACTCTAAGCTGCTTGGAGACACTGGCTCCGCAACCCCTGCTACCATTCCTCCTCGAAGAAGGGAAAGAGGCTGAGACTTCATGGGGATGGGCAAGGCTGGCCAAGAAGGAACAGAGATGGTAGTTTGGGACACAGTTGGTGACATCACATGGGCTCTCCCTTCTACCAGATGGAGAGGGTTCTGGCCTAGCAGGGTCACGACTCACAGACAGCCTGATCCAACTTCCCTGGCTATCCAGAAGAGCCTGCCCAGGCATCTGGGCAGCCAGCTGGGTCAGATGCCCTCACCACGATGTCCATCTTCCTTTCTGCTCCAGTGGGGGAAAAGGTGCCAGGTCAGGAACACAAAGGCCATTACCTTCAGCTCTTTCCAATCCAGCCCAAGGCCCAAGCCCACAACAGGGATACTCAGAGCCCAAGGGCACACAGTCTCCAGTTTAGACACTGGGTACAGCATAAGAGTGACTCCAACTTGTAAAACAGAGACAATTGCATTGACAAAACTGGGTCTCCCCTGCCCCAAGTGGTGGAAGTTCCACATCTCAGGCCCCTGCTGGGGGGTGGGGGGTGCAGGGTCACGGGGGCAGGCAGGATGGGCTCCTCCTTCCCTGAATAAGGCAGCATAACATTTGCTTCATTCATCTTTGGTAAAGGACAGGGACTGGCAAAGCTGACCTGGGGGCTCCGGGGAGAGCGCAGCCCCAGCCTCTGCCTTCCATTGGCTGTGGGATGCTGGGCTTTACCTCAGGCTTGGGGGGCTCATCCAGCCCAGAGATGCCCTGGTGGTCTCCAGACATGGGAGGAGAAACAAAATAACACTCTGAATGAAAGTAACACTAAGCAGACCCTCGTGTCAGTCCTGTGCCCCCACACCCGTGGGGCTTTGGTGCTGACTGCAGTGTCAGGACACAGCCCTGAGGGTAAGGCCCTCAGCGCTTTGCATACTGTTCCTAGCCCCTTCCCCTCCATGAGGAGCTTAGGATGCTGGAGCTCTCGGGTCTGGCAGGCTGGGGGCTCCCAGTCCTTGAGGCTGCAGCCACCCCGCCCTGGCTCTGAGCCCCAGTGGTGGACGGGGCACAGACGAACGCTGGCTGGACTGCAGCTCCGTGGTCCACAGCGTTGCCCAGGAGAAGCAGCAACTTTGCGGAGCCGCACGGCAGCCCCTTGCCCGTGCAGCAGGGGAGGCTGGCGGCAGCGAGCCTAGGGAGCTCAGTACGCGAGCTGTGCAAAGTGGTGTGTGAGCAGCTCCTCGGCCGAAGGTCTCTGGCGGGCCTCCACAAAAATGCGCCTCAGGAAGTCCCGGCCGTGCTCAGAGATGTGGGAGGGCAGCTGAGGATTGGTGGGCTGGGTGGCAATCTTGAAAATGGCAGCCATGGCTTCATACTCTGCCCAAGGTGGTTTCTCTGTCAGCATCTCTACCACGGTACAGCCCAGGCTCCTGGAGAGACAGAATCCCATGTCACCCCAGGCTCCCTGACCTGCCCACCATCATGGAAGGAGGTGCCTTTCTCAGAATACCCTGAGGCAGGACGGGGCAAGCTGAGGGTTGACACCTCTGTAGAGGGTCCCCAAGGCCTCATCTGCGAGGGCTTCATCAACCTACACCCACTAGGGTGAGTCTTAAGATTGGGGAAGAGATCCCTTAGCATGGACAGAAAGAACTCGGAGATAACTGTGTTAGTTTCCTATTTCCACTGTAACAAATTACCATGAGCATAAGACTAACAAAAATTTATTCTGGAGGTCAGAAGTCTAGAACTAGTCTCAATGGGCTAAAGTCAATGGGTCAGCAGGGATGGTTCCTTCTGGAGGCTCTGCTTCTAGAGGCTGCCAGCACTCCTTGGTTCACGGCCCCTCCTTACACCACTCCAGTCTCTTGCTTCTACTGTCCCATCTCTTGCTACCCACTCTCACCTGCTGTATCTGCCTTTTGTAAGGACCCTTGCAATTATACTGAGCCCACCTGGATGATCCAGGATAAGCTCCCCATCTCAAAATCCTTAAATTAAGCATATCTGCAAAGGCCCTGCTGCCACGTAAGGAAACATTAACAGGGCATGGGGTTAGTATGTGGGCATCTTTGGGGAAC